TCTCCATAGAGAGTTCCAGGCCAGCCCGGGTTACATGAGACCCTGTCACAAAAACTTAACAATAAAATGAAATTAAGGGGCCGAAGTCACGGCTCAGTGACTAAGAGCACTTTCTCTTAAGAGCTTGGTTCGCAGCACCCACATGAGCTTATTCACAACAGCCTCTAACCCAGGCTCGGGGGCCCCGGTGCTTTCTTCTGAACTTCCAGGGCATGTACACAAGTGGAATGTATTCAGACACATGCATGCACACAAATAAGTATTTAAAGGCTGCAGGAAGGGGTTTGCTGCTGGGATAACAGCAGCTCTTTGTATACTGTTTTGTAGAGGTCCCTGTACTCACAGATAAGCACTAGGGAAAGCAGGGGTGTTAAACACGAAGGGGTCTTCTCAATGGAGGAAATAGAATACCTGCTTCCCACCCAGAAAGCTGGGAGCGGATATTGTTAATGACCTGGTGACCCTTTGCTGTCTGTAGAGCTAGACCTTCCCCAAATCCCAGCGTGATTACGTTAGCCTCTACCCACCAGACCTTCTTGTCTAGCTCTCCATAACGCACCCCATCCTTAGAGGGAGGGTCTGGTGTACTTTACAGCCTTCTCACCTGTGCGAGCTCGGTCAGAGACCACCGCTGCTCCTCGGCCTCCGTAAAACCCATCTTCACGGTCACACGTACTTTGGAAAAGAGTTTCTGTGTAGTCAAGCTAAGTTGGATGCAGCCTGACTAAGTCAAGCTGACCTGAGTTTTCATTCTCACCTCTCCGTGGATCATTTCGCTGCCGGCCACGACCCCTGCAGGGACCCCGCCACCGATAAGCGGTGAAGCTACATGGGTAGGCTCCAGCCTAACAGACTACTGGTTCTCAGTTCCGTTCTGCCTCAGGCACTGTAGAGTTCCTTCTGAAATGCCACAGCAGATTGGACCAATCTGGCCCCCAGACACAGGAGCGTGGTGTCGTATGAGGCTCGGTGGGATTGAGAGTGGAGGTGACCCAAAAAAGGTCAAACCAGACAGTGCAATGATTGTCCAAGAAGCCAAGGTGACCCGGAGTATCAGGATAATGTGGAGCCACGGCTCTGTGGGTCACACCCCCTCTGGAGACTGCATATCAAATATTTACATTATGATTCATAACAGTAGCAAAATTACAGCCATGAAATAGCAACAAAAATAACTGTATGGCTGGGGGTCAGCACAGATGAGGAACTGTGTTAAAGGGTCACAGTTAGGAAGGGTGTAGAACAGGGGGCCCTTCCAGCAGGGCAGCCTCATCTTCATTGGACCAGCTGTGCTCTTGTGGACGCAAAGACACAACTCAATCCAAAGAGGCTATGAAATGGTTTCTTCTGATGCCAAGTATGAGTGACCATGGCCTGAGAACAGATTTAGGTTATTCAAAATTCTGTCTTCCATTGAGGCATCAATTTCGTTAAGTTTTTTATAGAAACAGAGCAAAGAAAAACAATTTTTTTATTAAAGTGTTATTGTTATTTGGTTTATTAAACCAAAACACTTTTTTATTAAGGATTTTTTAATTTTATGTGTTTGGGTGTTTACCTGCATGCATGTATGTCTGTGTGCCATGTACATGCCTGGTGCCCACAGACACCAGAAGAGGGCATCAGATCCCCCTGGGACTAGAGTTATAGGCAGTTGTGAGCACCGTGTGGGTGCTGGGAACTGACTCTCGCTCCTTTGGAAGAGCAGTCAGTGCTCTTAAGTGCATAGCCATCTCCCCAGCTCCAACACATTTTTCAACGATGTTGGTGGAAACACCAAGAGAGGCGGATTACAGCAAAGCCTGGAAGCCTCTCCTATAGGCTTCAGATGCTATCTGAAGACACCCTTAGCTTTTGGGTTGAGCAAGCTAGTTCCCTGATAAGCTAATATATTTCAAAATGCCTCACCTGATAGTCACAAGGATGTTAGATCAGGTACAGAGCAGGGAAAGGAATGGCTGAAAAAAAAAGGGGGGGGGGCTAAAGATAGCCCAAGATAAATTTTAATTAGGCTCTGGCCTGCAACATTTCCATCTCACCACAAATTTCAAAGTTCTGAACAGTTGATCAGCTTTGCAGAAGGTTCAGTGTGAGGTGCAGTTTCTTCTGGGAACTCTTGGTCACATCTGCAAGAGAGTCCATCACAACTGGTCCTGTTGATGCTTTACATCACCTTTTAAGAAGGAGGGAGAGGGGAGGCCACTGGGCCTTCTCCTGAGATTCCAGCCATTCCTTCCACAGAACTATTCTCTAATTATGTTTAGCCTGGAGGTATTGTCTAAGGATGTGCTAGAGTATATAAGCTGGGGAGAATGAACTGAAGATGCTCAGTCCACATCACCATCCAGAAGCCATCATCCATGCTGGACAAAGCCTTTCCAACGGGATCACCATACTTTGAAGGTAAGTGTGGGGAAGCAACAACCCCTTGCTTCCCCCAGGTCACCTTTGGTGGAATTATACTTTGGTTGGTCAATGGGATTTTTTTTTTTACTTTATTTTTTATTATTTTGTGTGTGTGAGTGTTTTGTGCATATGTACATTTGTGCACCAAATGCATGTATGAGGAGTGTGCCTGGACTTGAACCTGGGTCCCTTGTAAGAACAAGTTCTTGCTCTTAACTACTGAGCCACCTTTTCTGTCCTGTCATTTGGGATCTTATGAGGAGTGATGTTTATGTCTCCCTAGGAAAAGGATTCTCTTTTTTGTTGTTGTTGTTTTGTTTTGTTTGAGACAGGGTTCCTCTGTGTAGCCTTGGTTGTCCTTGATTTGCTTTGTAGAGCAGGTTGGCCGTGAACCCACAGAGATCCACCTGCCTCTGCCTCCCTGAGTGCTGGAATTATGGGCGTGTGCCACCACCCAGTTTGGCAAGAAGTTTTGCAATGAAAATGGATCAGGGTCAGTGGGGCATGGTGGCATACACCTGTAATCCCAGCACTGGGGAGGCAGAGTCAGGCAGATCTTTGCGAGTTGGAGGCCAGCCTGGTCTATAAAGTGAGTCCAAGATAGCCAAGAATACAAATAGAAACCCTGTCTCAAAAAAAAAAAAAAAAAAAAAAAAAAAAAAAAAGAAAGAAAGAAAGAAAAAAAGAAAGAAGAAAAAGAAAATGGACCATGGTTACCACTGTTAACCATGGCTATGCCATCTTGAAATTTTTCTCCATTTTGGTGGCTTGATGGGAGATCCCCTAAAGCACAATAATCGGCTTGTTCCCCTAGATCTCCTTGCACCCTGCAACTCCTGAGAATAACTGGTTATAAAAGATGTTTATGATCACCTGACGTTCTGTCTTGTTTTTGAAACAGGGCCTCACTGTATCCTTGAAACTGGAGCTCATTAGATAGACCAAGCTGGCCTGGAACTCACAGAGATCTACCTGCTTCTGGCCCTAAGAGTCCAGGTTAAAGGTGTGTGCCACCACGCCCAGCTGACACCTCTTTCACTTACTACTCTTTAATCACTCCTGGCATGGAAGCATTTGACTCCACCCCCATCCCTTCCTTGCACCCCAACTCCCATAACCACCACCACTGCGTAAGCAGGGAGCACTCTGATTTTCCCCTCTGGAGACCTCTGTTGTAGAAGTTGCTCCTTTCCTTGTCCTTGTCCTTCTTCCCTCTGACCTTTGGTGGCTCATCCAGGGAGCTGGGGTGAGGGCACCTGATACTGGACAGAAGCTTTAAAGATCAGAGACTGAGTCTCACGCCTCAAGAGCAGCCTGGCCCATTCTTCAGCGGCTCCTGCTCTCTACATGGGTGAAAAGCACCAGATTATACTCAGCTCTCGTTGCTCAGGGCTTCTCTCTCCACCAGGTCTAATCCAGCTGAGCCTGGACTCAGGTTGGCAAGCTTGCGGGAGCTGGTTACTGCTGACTGGGACCAGGGGTCATTACCCCTCAGTGGACTCTAGGTAACCTGTGAATAGCTGGCAAGATGACATCATGTTTATTAGGCAGAATAATATCTAATTAGATAACCATTACAATATACTATATCATTCCTTAATATCAACATTAACATATTATATAATTATAATATGATTATATTACATACAATACAATACATTATATATTTTATATGATATGTGTGCTGGCTATTCCATTTTGTGAGGCTTGGCTAGGCCACAGCATGAATTCCCTTCCCCTCTTGAGGGAGAACATACCTTGGAATCTAAGCAGCCCAGACAATACTGCCCAGCATGTTTGGCATTCCTTTCTCCATTCCTTCCTGTCATCCCTGGTTGCCCAATCCCTCTGCTGGGAGGTGGAGTTCTGGACCTGTCCTATGCCTCCTCCATTATCATTCTTTCACAAAGGCCCCATGGGGCAGCCTCCTCCCTGCTACTTTGTCACCCAGGCCTGCCCCCTCCTGAAATATTCCGATTGCTGAGACACCCCCCCCAACTGACATATTGATGAGGGCACTTTAAGGCTATGCCATTGTTGCTGGTGACATCAAGAGATCCAGCCTCTCCCCTACACACATCGCCTCAAGGCAGACAGAGCCTGTCTCTCTCACCAGGGCCCACAAAACCAAAAGTTGGTTTCTACAAACCAACTTTTTTGGTGACTCCAAATATGTACACCACATCCTCCATTCTCAAGCCTTCATTGGCAAGAGAGGGAGCCCTCTCACTTCACAAGAAACCTATAATTAATTGCAAGTTAATCTGCAAACTCCAATCTGGACACCAGGTTGCCTCTGGCAGTGGTAGCTATCCACCAAAGCAGGCCAAGGCCACATCTCCGGAGGCTTGAGAGAAGCCGAAGGGAAAATGCTGCTGGCTTCTGTCTGAGCTCAGAAGCGCCTCCCTGACCTTAAGACTCCTAACCTCCCATTTGTGTTTCTGCTCTCACAGATCCAACCTCCGTAAGTATAATCGGCACCACCAGGGACTGCCTTGGCCTCTCAGTCACTCCTGGATAAGCGACAGGCGAACTTGAGAATTCTGAGGACCACTTCTCTGCCTCCCACCGCTGAGGGGCACTCCTGGAGAGCCATGATTCGCCCTTGGGTTGTCTGTCTCCTCCTGTTCCCTTACTTCTGTGCCTGTTCAGACAGCTGGATGCCCCTCGTAAACCTCGCTCAACGCCTCCTCAAAGACACTAACTCTTCCTTCTCCTCCAACTGCTGGGTCTGCTTGTCCATCCAAACCCAGCGCTCTCTAGCTGTCCCAGCCCCACTAACGACCTGGGCAGACTCACCCATGAAGCTTCATATTATGTACTCAGCCCGGACCCTCCCTGGCCCTTATCCTATTGCTGATCTTGAGAGACGCCTCCAGAATTTCCAGCCATTAACCGCTCATTACTCTTTCACCAATCCTGACCGACGGGCTATTGCTCTTCTTCAACTCACAAACTTAATGGGCATACTTCCGATACTTTCCCGACTCACCTCTGTGAAATACACTAAGGAACCCTTCTATGAATCTGCCCAGCGCCCCATTTGGGGACCACTCTCTACCCAGACTGTCCTCACCTCCCAGGCCCCTCTCTGCATATCCCGCTTCTTCAAGAATTCAAAACACGCCACCTTCGTGGGCAATCTCTCTGCCTCTCTTTGCAACCACACCTTTCGTCTCTCCCCCTCTGCCGACCACCAAACCATAGATCTGTCCACCAGCTACGCATTTGCCAAACTAATGACCATGCCAGGCTCTAAATGGAGAAATCCCTTACGTTTTTCGGGACCCCCTTCCCTGAACTCAGGAAAGCCTTACCATCCCTGCCCAGTAGCTGACATCCATTGTCACACCTACCCAACCACTCCCTGGAGATACTGTCCTTCCTTCTCGTCTAGCACCTGCTATAATCTTACCCTATTTGAACCAGGCAACAGAAGTCATCCCATCATTCTGTCCGTGGACACCACATACTTTAAGATTAAACTCCAAGGACACAAAGACCCCTACCCACTGTTTCAGTACCAGCCTCTCATGGGGGCAGCCCTCTCTGGACAATATTCAATCTGGGAGGATGAACCCACTGTCCAGGAAAACGGGGGTCTCACTCCAAATATCTTTTCACATCTTCTCTCCTTAACCTATTCTTTTTGCCTCAACTCCTCAGGTGTCTTCTTCCTCTGTGGAAGCTCCACATATATCTGTCTCCCAGCCAACTGGTCGGGTGTCTGCACCCTTGTCTTCCAATACCCAGACATTGAACTTCTTCCCAGTAATCAAACTATAGCTGTCCCCCTTTTTGCTACAATTCCCTCCTCTATCTCCACTTCTCGCCAGAAAAGAGCCTCTCACCTCCTCCCTCTTCTTGTGGGCCTGGGCATCACGTCTGCGCTCGGGCTAAGCATCGCTGGTATCAGCACCTCAACCATGTATTTCCAACAGCTCTCAAAGGCTCTCTCAGACAGCCTCGACGAAATAGCCACCTCCATTATCACCCTCCAAGACCAAATAGACTCGCTGGCAGGGGTTGTCCTCCAGAACCGCAGAGCTCTGGACCTCATCACAGCGGAGAAAGGGGGAACCTGCCTCTTCCTCCAGGAAGAGTGCTGCTTCTATGTAAACCAGTCTGGAGTCGTCCGGGATGCAGCAAAGAAACTTCGAGAAAGAGCATCGTTGTTCCGCCCAAGCTCCAGTTCTTGGATCCAGTGGCTGGGGCTGGGACACTGGCTGCCTTCCTGGTTAACTTCCTTCCTGGGACCCATTTTCTTTATCCTCGTACTGCTCATGTTCGGGCCTTGTCTTCTTAATTGCCTGGCTCGTTCTGTATCGAAGCGAATGGGTTCTTTCATTCGGAACACTACCAAAGGGCATGTGGACAAGATCATCCAGCTTCAGGATTCCCAGTACAAGAGACTTCCCCAAGAGCCCCCCGAGGGGGATGCCGTCTAGCAGAAAGGGGCTGCAGGAACTACAGCTGACCCACCCCATCTCTATCTGCCAGCCTGCACAAATAAACTTCACCAGTGTCAGCCACGACCATGCCAAGATGAAGAGCTTTTCCGTTTTGCTTAAATGGTGGCAGTTTTCCCCAAACCACAGTAATCATTCTAGGCTTGTTTTTATAGGTGCCTGGCACCTCCTGTCCCTCTGATAATAACTGGCCATTGGAGAGATTTATGACCACCTGACACTCCTCAGTCACAACTCATGACTCTGATCACCCCTGCAACGGAAGCTTCTGTGTGTGCCCCCCCCACCCCCAACTCCATCTCTACCCCTGGTCTGTAAGCCCACAGCAAGAACTCTCTGGCTTCCCCAATCTGGAGACCTCCCTTCTTGAGCTTTTTCTAGGATTAAAACTGTCCTGTTGTAGAGGATGCTCATTCTCTTCTTTGTCTTTCCTTCCTTGGACCTTTCAGCCACCAGCCCAGGGCTTCTGAATCAGAGGAGCTTGCCTGGGTGCTGGCTCCCCAGTTCCAGGGACAGGGGTCAGCCCTGACTGTATTTCCCTTCCTTCTGCTGCTGCCAGATGAACAAAATGAGAAAGCTAAATTAACTTAATTTACAAGGAACTCTATTATTCCAAAAGTGGGCTGTGGTCCTACCTCATGCCGAATGTCCTTTCTGTTAGGGAGACAATGTCCTCCATAGGCTCAGATGTTTGAATACTAAATGCCCAGTTGGCAAAGCTGTGTGGGAGGTTTAGGGGTATGGCCTTGTTGGAGGAGGTGTGTCCCTGTAGGCGAGCTTTGAGAATTTAAAGACACCCATTGCTTTTGCTTTACGACCTCTACCATGTGCTTGTGGCTCAAGGTGTGAACCTTCGGCTCCTGCTTCGTCTACCGTTTGCTGAGTTCATCCCTGCCAAGACAGACTCACCTCTCCAGAGTGAGTGGTAAAACAAACCCTCCTTCCATAAGCTGCCTTGGTCACGATGTTCTATCACAGCAATAGAAAAGTAACAGAGGGTGACGACACGAGGGTTTTATCCAGCATGCTTTTTTTTTTTTTTTTTTTTTTAATAATATAAAATGTAGTCATGGCTGGACTTAAACTCACAGTGATGCTCCTGCCTCAGCTTCTTGAGTACTGGGACCATAGGAATGCATTGGCACACTCAGCGGTAACATTGTTTTTTGTTTGTTTTTGTTTTGTCAAAGTCACAAACTGTTGACATTCCATCTGTCTCTGCTGCTGTGTTTCTGGAGGAAATAGAAGGATCTTAATGGCGTGAATACCCAGAAGGGTTCAACATGCTCAAAAGAGATGTCATTTACAGAGCTGGGGAAATAGGTCCATGGTTAAGAGTGCTTGCTTCAGCCGGCTGTGGCGCATGCCTGGAATCCCAGCACTCAGAAAGGCATAGGCAGACGGATCTCTGCAGGTCAGAGGCCAGACTTGTCTACAAAGCAGGTCCAGGACAGCCAAGGCTACATAGAAAAACCCTGTTTCGAAAAAAAAAAAAAAAAAAAAAGCGCTTTCTTCTCTGAGTTGGCTTCCCAGCTCCCACAGCTGCCTGTAACTTGGGCTCCAGGGTGTCCTGATCTCTTTTCTGACTCGGAGGAAACTGCACTTCGGTGCACGCACAATTACAATCTTTAAACAGATGTCCCCTTAGGCTTGATACCGTTCCTACGACTGAGCTGGAGGAAGAAGACAGTTTAGAGACCCCTGTCCCGGAGCAAAGAACTCACGGAGAGCTTGGGTATGGACGGTACGTGCCTGTCATTCCATCACTCAGGAGGCCCAGGCTATAGGCTAGAGAGTTTGAGGTCAGCCTGGGCTACATAAATGAGGCCTTATCTCAGAAAGCTGAAATTATGCAGTTTTATTTACAGAGACGTCTCTCAGGAAATCCGGAAGGCTGCAAGAAAAAGCTCCCAGGACCTCAGAAGTCTAGGTCTGGTCAGCTGGGAGAAGAACCCTTCTCGTGAGGTCAGCTTCCCTTCCCCCATCAGCTGTACCTAGATGCTAGGCTTCCTCCCGGCCAGGAAGAACCCGGAACCAGCCAAGTCCACGTGTCTGGAAACAGCCTGGTGGTAGCCTGCTCAGCAGATGTTTCCATGGAGACGCCACGCCCACCCTGTGCGGAGGGCTCAGTTGTGAAGCCAGGCTACCTCAGATCCAATGGGCAGAGGATATCCTCTTCATCCAAAACAGCATCCCCACAGAGCAGTGCTCGGCTTTAAATTTTTTTAACACCTATTGCGAGAAGGAGCCGGGAGTGGGGGTTAGGGGAGAGTAGTAATGGAAGAGAAAACTCCCCTTCCCAGAGCTCGCTATAGCTGGATCACATAGGGTTGACGATGTGTTATAGCCACAGTGTTTTCTGTCAGGGTTTTAAGTGGGGTTCAAGGACATGAAATTTTTTTCATGTCATTCCAAATTCCTTGGAAACAGCTTCTAATTTTGTATGTATGTATGTGTGTGTGTGTGTGTGTGTGTGTGTGTGTGTGTGTGTATGTATGTATGTATGTATGTATGTATGTATTTCCTAAAAGGGTTTCACTATGTAGCTCTGGCTGTCCTAAAACTCACTATGTAGATCAGGCCAGCCTTGAACTCTCAGAGATCCTCCTGCCTCTGCCTCCCAAGTGCTGGGATTAAAGTCCTGTGCCACTACACTCAGCTTGAAATAATAATTCAGAGACTGGAAAAACATTCCATTAAAGAACTGGAGTCAAGGGCTGGACAGATGGCTCAGTGGTTAACAGCGCTTGCTGCTCTTGCAGAATACAAAAATGTGGTTCCCAGCACCCACATCAGGAGGATGGGTCCTTCCAATCACCTGTAACTCCAGCTCCAGAAGTCCGGAATTCAAAACTGCCAACCCTCCTTTGGCCTTGGCAGGTGCCCTCACATGAGTGCACACACCAACACAGAAGCAAATGCATAGATGTAACTAAAACAATGTCTAGTCATGCCAGACTTGACGGTGCATGCCTTCAACCCCAGCATTTGGGAGGCAGAGGCATCTAATGCTGTGAGTTCAAGGCCAGCCTGCTCCACGTAGTGGGTTCCAGGCCGGTCATAGCTACATAGTGAGACTCTATCTCAAAAAATTAAAATAAATGAGCAGGGCAGTGCTGGCGCACACCTTTGATCCTAGCGCTTGTGGCAGAGGCAGGCAGATCTCCAAGTTTGGGGCCAGCTTGGTCTACAGAGTGAGTTTTAAGACAGCCAGGGCTACACAAAGAAATCCTGTTTTGAAAACAAACAAACAAGCAAACAAACAAAAAACACAAAACCTTCATGGGTGTGGGTGAGAAAGGTACAGACGCTGTGCCAAGCTCTTGCTTAGTCAGCATGCCAGAAGTCCTGGATTCCATTCTTGTCTCCACATACACACAAAATATTAAAATTATGGGCTGGGACCAAACACGATGGCACGTGACTGGAATCCCAGCACTGGGAAGTTAGAGGCAAATGGATTTTGAGTACTAGACCAGTGTGGGCTACAGAGGGGATTCAGAGTCAGCCTGGGTAATTTAGCAAGCCCCCAGTAAAACCAGGGCGGTGGCTAAGATCTAGCACACCGGAGAGAAACCCTTCTGTAAGGGAATGAGCTTGCCAGTAACTAGGGCCAAAGGTGTGTCTCTCAAGTCACTCACCCTTTGAGGCTCCACCCATGAGTGAGCAGGTGGGGCTCCAGAGCTGATTCCATTACCCTGAGGCAGGTGTTCAGCTTGCACGTTCATGCTGGGGGTCCGTGTGGGGATGTGTCAGGTCAGGGTTCCTTCTGTTTACGTGCTGAAGGGGCACCCAGGTGTCTCCCACAGGGACTTGAGACCTGAACAAACCCCTGCCCTTTCCTCCTCCAACTTGTTATGGGATCAAAGCTGGCTTTGAACTCATGATCTTTCTTCCCCCGTCTCCTACGGGGATTATCGGCATATGTCAACACATGTCTTATGCTGTGGTGGGCTCTTTGTGTAAACTGAACATTCTGCCAACTGAGTGGCACCCCAGCTCCCATTTCCTTTAAATTTCTTTTTTTATTATTTTATTTTTATATGCTTAAAAATATAAAGTGTATATGTGTAGACATGCACATGCCTGTGTGAAGGTGTGTCCCCAAAGTCGAAAAGAAGATGTCAGATCCCCAGGAGCTGGAGTTATGGGCAGTTGTGAGCTACCCAGTGTGGGTGCTGGGGGAACTCAGGTCCTCTGCAAGGGCGGAATACATGCCCTTATTTTTGAGACAGGGTCCCACTTAGCTGGCATGGAACTTCTTACGTAGGCCATAGCTGGCTTCAAGCTCCAGAGGGGCCGCCTGTTTCTGTCCCCAGTTTGCTGAGATTAAAGACATGCACCATCACACCCAGCTAAAATGTATGCTCTTAACCACTGAGCCATCTCTCCAGCCCTCACCCTTTCTTTCTAAGACACACACTGAGGAGTTTACAGAGAACTGTGTTTGAAGCTCAGACCTTTAACCATTTTAACTGTGGTATCAGTTTTCTTTCTTTTTGAGATAGGATTTCACTATGTAGCCTCTGGAACCCTCTGTGTAGACCAGGTTGCCTTTAAACTAATACAGATGTGCTCATCTTGTGTCTCAAGTGCTGGGATTAAAGGCAGGTGTTACCATGCCTAATTTTCCTGTGGGTGGAGATGAAGGGCCTCATTAATGCTAAGCAAATACTCTACCACTGAGCCACATCGCCAGCCCCTCACTGGGTTATTCTAGGCAGGTGCTCTACCCAAGAGGTGGATTCTTTCCACTCCGCCATGATTTAGGTACTATTTCAACTTTGAAGCTGTCCATCTAGCTACGCAGAACTTACTCGTTCCTAACCCCGCCCCCCACCATGTGTACCCTCCAGTCCTGAGGGGTTGGCCTCTTCTTTTCACATGGGCTCTCTTGGCTGCAGCTCTCCTCAGGGCTGCCCTGGTGCATCATTGCGCGACGACTCTTGTTCTGTTGAGCAAAACTTGGAACATCCTGTCTCCTTTAAAGATGGGGAAACGGAGGTCAAGAGTTTAATATGCTGAGATCTTAAGTTTTGAGACAGGGTCTCACTATGAGGCTCAGCTTGTCCACCTCCGGATTGCCTTCAGGTGGCACACCCCAAGTTCTCTCTTCAATTGCACTATCTCCTTCCTCCCCTCTTTCAGCACAGTTCCTAAGTCAACTCTTCCGTGAAGCCTTCCAGACGCCAGCCCCACCCCTAGCATTCCCAAGCTTCTCTGTCTCCTAATATGGAACATTCAAATGAGCAATGCACAGTTGAAACAGAAACTGGAACACACAGATGTGCCTAGTGCTGAAACGCGTGTGGGTGCAATCTATTTCCAAGGTCCAAGTCAGCTGGAAGTGGTCTGGTCAGGGAAGACGAGGGTCTAAAGTCTTCTTCGCCCGCCCGCTCCCCCGTTTCTGCGCGTCACCATTGCTAGAGAACCGTGAGACCACGATGGCGGGCACCGCCCCCAACTTCCCCCTCCCTCCCCCTCCACGTCCCCTCCCCCGTCGTGCTCCCTCTGGGCCCCGCCTTCCTGCGTCCGCCGCTGCGCCGGCCCCTTTTGTTCGCTCTCCGGCCGCTGAGCTCTCCTGGCGCTCGGCTTCTCTCGGCTGGGCTCGGCTCGCCTTGGCAGGACTCCACCGGGCTCGGCTCGGCTCCTCTCGCCTCCGCCCCGTTCAGCTCGGCTCTTCCCGGCTCGGCTCCGCTCGGCTCGGCTCGGCTCGGCTCCGCCTCGGAGCGCGCAGGCAGCGGCTGGGCTTACTGGATCGGCCCCTCCCTCTGTCTCCTTCTGGCCGTAGATCGTGTGTAGGGGCCCGGAGTCGGAGCGCGGAGAGCCGGGGAGGATAGTGGCGTGCGGGGACGGGCGCAGCATCTTCGTTCCCGGGACGCGCAGACCAAGAGGAGGCGAAGGGGTGTCGGGTCCTGGTAGCTGCTGGAGCTCCAAGGTAGGCGCAGCTCTGGGGACGCGCGCGAGCGATGGGGGCGCGCGGGCAACAAAGGACGCAGAGTCGCGGGGGGCGGCGGCACCCTGCCCTGGAAAGAAAAGGGGGGTGCTATTACCCAGGCATTGTCGCTGCGTGGATAGGGACAGCAGGCAGGGTCGCCACCGCTGGTGGGCGTGGGCGCGGTGAACCCCAACTTTCTCAACCCGGAGGGCGCGCTTCTGTGGTTGGGGGCGTCTCTAGATGCATGTCCAGATGGTGCGCACATCCACAGACTGGGGTTCGGGCGTGTTTGCCAGGGTCCTTTTTCCAAGAGCGGATCAAGGCAGCTGGATGAGCCCTTGGGGGAGGCTCTCAGGCTCGGAGGGATGGGGGTCACAGCCTGGTGGGCGCGGCCATCAGCTCTCATCTCCAGACCTGGCATCTGGGATGAGACACAGAGCCCCGCCGCCCCTCGCTCCGTCACCTGGGGTCGCCTGGTTGATGCCCTTAGCAGAACTTAATTGGAGAGCCTGGCTGGGAAGAGGAGGCTAGGGTAAAGGGAGGCCCAGGATCCGTGGCTTTCCGTAGGGGTGCCCCCCCAAGCTGGCGCTGGTGGCTGGTGAGGCAGCAGATTTTTTTTTCCCTCCCCCCAGGGAGGGGCAGTGGCGACGCAGGATGCAGGGCTGAGCCTCCAGGGCCAGCCCGCGTGGACTTTTCAGGCGGGGCCTGTGTGTCCCGGGCTCACTGGGCTTTGCCACGCGTGCCTCCTCTCCAGCCTGGCCCAAGCCTGGAAAGGTCGTTGCAGAGGGACACCTTAGGGATAGAGAAGTCAGAACCCAGGGATGTATGCACCCAGCCTTGGAGATGACGTTCCTGTCTTCTGGGCTACGAGTGGACCGGGGGTGGGGTGGGGGCTAGGGGTTGTAGAGCTAGGCAGAGAATTGGCCTTGATCTTGAAGGGTGCCTAGACAGAGGACGATGGCGGTAGGGCTGTCCCAGGGCTGTGCTCTGGGGAGGAGGCAGAGCGCACCACGTGGGCTACCTTACCTCTGCTGTGAGGCCTCCTCCCCATTAGTTGTAAATGTAAACAATGAGTCCTTCATTCATAAGGCGGCTCTCACCTGGATTGGCACCACAAGGCGCTGGCAGGTACACAGAACCGGAGCGGCTCTGCATAGACAGCCCAGGCCAGCCCAGGCCAACACCCGGCCTGTGGAGAAGCTAGGAGCATCGAAGAGGCACAGCTGAACGGTGGGGCAGACCCTAAAGGGGGTGGTCGAGCCCAGTGCCCTGCCCAAAGGTACTTTGTGCATAAGCGATGGTTCCCACAAGAGCTTCCAGACGGGAGGCATTCTGGCTTAGATGGGCAGAGAAAGATTTAGGTTACTGGGCCATGAAGTTCAAGGTAGAGCCTTGTTTGCCTGCATACAGTAGGTGCCCACTTAGCCTGGGACACACGGGTTTCAGCAGTGGCAAACAAGGGGAGTATGTTGCAGTGGAGGCTTGAGGGTTAGAGCTAGAGGAGCCCCAACGGCAAGAGAACTTTGGAAGAACAGCTCGTACACACACGCCTCTAACCCAGGAACTCAGGCGGGAATTGCTTGCTGAAGAGCCCCAAATTCCCAGCCAGAAGACATATCCTGTGGGTGGGTCAGATGGTTGAGAGTTCAGATGTGGGATTTTGACATGGTGGGTGGGTTCAAATCCTTGCTTAGCTGCGGGGCTTTTGACAAGATCGTTTATCTCTCTGTCTCCATTTTCCCATCAGCGAAATGGGGGTACTTAGGGCATGTGCCTTTTAGGGCTTTTGACAGAATCATGTACCCTAAGGACAGAGTTTTGTGATTTTACCTATTTGTATATTTGGTGGCATGGGAAATTGAACCTAGGACCTCATGCCTTCTCTGGCTGAGCTGTTCCCCTCTCCTCTTATTGGGGGATTCTAAGCAAGTATTTTAAATACTGAGGCATGCTTCTCAGCCCCTCACTGGGGGATTCTATGCAGGTACTCTACCCTAAGCTATGCCCCTGGGGCATTCTAGACAAGAGCTCTATCACTGAGCTACATTCTCAGTTGAAGAGTTTTTTATTTTTTGCTGCAGGAAGTGGCCCTCAGCCTGGGGCAGAAAGACACTTATTCCCTGCTCTGGCTGCCTTCTCTCTACCTTCATACGGCGTAGCCTCTTAGCCCTGCCCCAGGGCCTGCTTTTTTTCTTTTTTCTTTCTCTCTCTTCATCCTTCTTCCTGCTTTCCTTCATTGATGGCAAAGTCATTATCCTCTTATCCCTGAGTCTCCACCTGGAAGACAGGCTCAGCCATCATGGTTTCCAGCCTCTCTGCACAGCTGCTCTGTTCACCCTACCTGCTCTCTTGCTCTCTGCTGCTTTGAATTTGTGTCTTTATAGAGGCTTTTAGAAACACATATTAAGTGCTTACTCTGGGTCAGGAATGTTTGGTTCTGTCCCCTGTCCCTTCCCCCCCTTCTTTTGTGACAGGGTTTCTCAGTTTCTTGTGTAGTCTTGGTTGTCCTGGATTCACTTTGTAGACCAAGCTGACCTTGAACTCACAGAGATCCACCTGCCTCTGCCTCCTGAAGTGCTGGGATCACAGGTGTGCCCTACCATGCCCAGCGCCTCCTACCACCGTTTGAGACAGGGTCTCACTGTGTAGCCTAGGGTGGCCTTGAACTCACAGATATCTGCCTGCCTCTGCTTGCTGAGTGCTGGGACCAAAGGTGTGTGCCACCATGCACAGTGGTCCTGCCCGTTGTAAATCCATCCATTCATTTGTTGGTTTTGCATTATTTTTTAGATTTATTATTGTCTTTATGTGTACCTGTGAGACTGCATGCTATGCGTGTGTGGGTATAGCATGGAGGCCATGAGAAGGTCTGGGGTTCCCCTGGAGTTGGAGTTACAGGCTTGTTTTGAGCTGCCTGATATGGGTGCCGGGAATGAACCTGGTCCTTCGGAAGCTCAGCAAGAACACCTGGCCGCTAAGCCGTCTCTCCAGCTCCTGCTTTGCTCATTAGAGACAGAGCCTCTATCCCAGGCTTGCCTTAGACTTACACAGCCCCGGCCTTCAACTTCTGCTCAGTAAGCCTGCATTTCCCAACAGCTGGGGTGATGGGCCACTCCAGGTGTATCTGGTATTGGGGATAGACTTGGGGTTTATCCATGTCAGGGCCACAGTCGGCTCAGGCTGGCTCAGAGTCATGCTGTAGCCCAGGTTGGCCTTCCTGCCTCCGCGTCCAGAGTTCTGAGGTGACAAGTATACACCGTTGTGTGCTTTGTCTGTGCATTGGTTAAGCACTTGCTGTGTGCTGAAAGGGTAAACCATCTTTTGCAAAGTCAAAAGATGGTTTTGACCCTGCTCCCACGTCTGTTTCTCTAAAGCGTAATTACGACTCTGCTCTCTGCTGACACCTCGGTGCAAAGTCTGAACACTGTCTGGCTTTTGGATCCCACACAATTGCCTGGGCTGTGCCTTTCATGGGGCCAGCTCCTCTGCACCTCTCCCTTCCTCTCTTTCCCCTCCCTCTCCATCTTTATGTGCCTCTACGAAGGTCACCCCACTTCTCTTTGCAGGAGTAAGTAGTAGGCCTGTTTTGTTGAACCCAGCTATCACAGAAGGGACATGGCATTGGAAGACCCCTCCCATGCCTTGTTGGGTGGTTTTTTGTTGTTTTGAGACAGACTCTCATGTAGCACAGGCTGGCCTCCAAATTGCTGCACTCTGGGGGCTAGCCTGTGGGGGGGCATTGGGGTGGACAGTCACATGTAGAGGCTAGAGGTAGCTCTGTCTTCCTCCGTCACTGTCTATTTTATGTTTTAGTTATTTTGTGTTCCCTGCGGTGTGGATGGATGTGTACGTGCTTGAGAGGACAGCTTGCTGGGGATCAAGTTTCTCTTCTGCTGTGTGCATTCCAGGGCTTAGAGTCAGCCTGTCAGACTTGGTGGCAAGCCCCTTACCCACCAAGCCGTCTGGCCGGCCCTTCCCCGGTCAGAGAGATAGGCTCTCTCACTTACCCTGCATCTCACTGACTCAGCGAGGCTGGTTAACTATCAAGTTCCAAGGACCCTCCTGTCTCCGTCTCTTTAGAGCAGCACTTACAGGCACACCATGCTCTTTGGACGTGGGTTCTGGGGATCTGAGCTCGGACCCTCCTGTTTATTTGGTAGGTGATTTCCTGAGGAAAGCATCTCCACAGCCCCACTGTGCCTGGTCACCTTTGAGAAAGTTTTGTCCTGGGAATCAGAGCCGCAATGATTTAAATAAGGGGAGACTTTAATCACATTTCTTTATTTTCTTAAATATATTCATGGTGTGTGTGTGCGTGTCTGTGTGTGTATGTTTGTGCACACTCCCGTGGCTGTGGCCCAACTTTTGGGAATTGTTTGTCTTCCTATGTGGGTACTGGGACTGAACAGAGTTCATTAGGCTTGGTGGCCAATACTTTTCCCTTGGAACGGTCTTGCTGGCCCTGAAAGGAAGTTTCAGAGTGGGAGAAGTAAGATTAATCGCTGAGGAACTGCAGGGCCCTGGGCCACCAGGACCCGGAAGCTCCTCCTGTTTCTCTCTGGACGTTGGTTTCATTTTCTCTACCTTAGTCTTGCCTCTGTCCTGTCTCTCCTTGACTCCTTTTGTGACTGTCACAAATGCTGATTTCAGCTCCTGTTTATAGGCCCCTCCTGGTGGTAACTTCTTTAGTTCTGGGTTGCCAGAGAGACCAAAGGAGAGGTCTACCCCCATCTGCTTAGTTGGTGGTAGGCTGGGGCTTGGAACAGCTGCTATAATCTGTCACTCAAGTGTTTGGTACATGAAGTTGTGTGTGTGGGGCATGGCTGTGTATAGGAGCTGGTGGTCTGATGGCAGAGGCAGGGTGGTGGACACTTTATTGTCGTGCCACTAGATACTGTGTGGTGCTTTAGTCCTCAGCTCTGCGGCTTAGGAGAAATTAAAGGTGTGACCTTCTGCGTAAATTTTCTCAGCCCTACCCAGGCTGAGGAGAGACTCTTCTC